GTATGTTGTATGAGTGTATGAGTGTGTGTGTGCAAGTGTGTGTGTGGGTGGGGGAGAGAGAGAGAGAGAGAGAGAGAGAGAGAGAGAGAGAGAGAGAGAGAGAGCGCCCTTTGTCGACACAGGTGAGCTAATTAACAGCCACATAAACCATATACTGGAAATACCAAAAACCCCACCCCACAGAGGAGGAACCAAATCCGCAGGGGGAGGGCTCCACCTCCTCATCTCCAACCCCACTCCCAGCCCTGTCCTGCCGGCCCCTGTCATCCACCACAGCAGGAAATGGCTTGAGTTGTTCTGTTATGAATATGATAGCAGTTTCTATTGTCAGCACAGACGGGAGAAAACACCCATTTTCTTTCGATCTATTTGCAACTGCTAACACGGCCATATCTCCCTGCGTGCGGTCTACATCGAAGTTTTACATTGCTGTTGTTGGTAATATATAAATCTCCTACTCCTTATTTAAAAATCTATCCTCGCTAGGTGATGGTGGTACATACTTTCAATCCCAGCACTTGGAAGGCAGAAGCAGGTGGGTCTCTGTGAGTTTGAGGTCAGCCTGGTCTACAGAGTGAGTTCCAGGACAGTAAGGACTATTTCTGTGGAAACTCTGTTTCGGGGAAAAAAAAATAAATAAATCTAAAATCTAAAATCTAACCTTGTAGCACAGTGATCAGCAAAAATGGCATAAGGGGTTGGGGTGGCATAAGACATATTCAAGCTCTGCACCTGCCACTTGAGTTCGGGGACTTACCTTTTCTGAGTCTTGGAGTCGTCCTCCGTGTACCAAAACCAAGGGACACAGCCATTTTCTGATGGTGGGTTTCTACGTGGTCCTCTAGATGATGGTCAGTACGGTATCTGGTCTCTGCTAAATTAATGAGGGACACCATTGTTTTAATTAGAGAAGCCGGGGGCCGGGAGGTGATGGCATATGCATCGTTTGATCCCAGCACTCAGGAGGCAGAGGCAGGTGGATCTCTGTGAGTTCGAGGCCAGCTTGGTCTACAGAGCGAGATCCAGGACAGGCAACAAAACTACACACAGAAACCCTGTCTCGAAAAACTGGGGGGGGGGGGGGAGCCCCAGCGGCTCCGCCATCCTCAGGAGCACTTCTCTCCGGCCTTTGGAGTCTTTCCCTGCCCTTGCGTGGTACCCAGCCTCCAAGACAGTCTCTGTGAGCCTCACATTCTACTCATTCCTGACTTTTCAGTCTTCCTCAGATGAACCAGCGCTGGCCTTTGTGGCAAACAGGATTTGTGGGGGTGACAGTGAAGAGAGCACTTTTCAGGGTCCTGCCTTGGTGTTTTGGATCCCTCACTCTGGGGAAGCAGCCTCCATGTTGTAACAATCCTCCAGCAGCTCACAGAGTGGCCCATGTGCTGAGGGGCAGAAGCTTCCTGCCAACAGGGAGGACCAACTGGACAACTGGATGAATGAGCTACCCTGGAAATCCATCTTTCAGTCCCAATCAAGCCTTCAGACAAATGTAGTCCTGACTAAAAAAAAGTGTGTGTGTGTGTGTGTGTGTGTGTGTGTGTGTGTGCATGTGCTATATAGAGAGGACTGAAATCAACTTCAGGTGTCTTCCTCAATCATTTTCAATAGTATTTATTTATTTATTTACTTACTTACTTATTTATTTATTTTCAATAGGGTCTCATTATACTGCCCTAGCTGGTTTTGAACTCACAATGTAGACCAGGCTGGTTTTGAATGATCCATCTGCCTCTGCCTTCTGAGTGCTGGGATGAAAGGTGCGCAGCACCATGCCTAGCTTCCTACTTTATTTCTTTTTTATTTTTACTTATTTATTTTTGAGTAGCTATTCTCTCTGAACCTGGAACTACAGGATTGGCTAGCCCAGCTGTCCAGCGACCTCAGGGGCCCTGCCTGTCTCCTTCCCGAGGCTCTCTCCTCAGCGCCAGGCTCACAGATGCATGCTACCATGCTCAGCTTTTATCTGGATTCTAGAGATCTGAACTCAGGTCTCCACGCTCATGCTACAAGCGCTGTACTGGCCGAGCCACCTCCCCAGACCCCTTCCGGACATTTAGACTGCAATCTCCTGAGACTTCCAAGAAATGTTCAGGAAAAACTATTCCCTTAATTCCTGACCCACTCACCTGTGAAAGATAACTGCTCATCATCCTTTCATTTTACTTTTTCCCATCTAGGCAGGATCTCATGTAGCACAGGTTAGCCCTGAGCTGACTGTATAGCTAAGAATGCCCTTGAGTTTCAGGCCCTCCTGTCTCCCTAGTACTGGGATCCCAGGCATGTGCTACCACACTCTGTTTAAGTGGTGCTGGGGATTGAACCCAGAACCTCAGAAGTGCCAGATAAGCTCTCTATCAAGTGAGCTACATCTCTAGCCCCGTTTACCATCAGCATTTTAAACCAGTGGGTTTGGGATTAGTCATATACCAGCAGATAATGATCACACCTATGACTAGCTTTAACCAATGGACCAAGGCAGAAGAGCTAGTCTGGCACTTGGCCCAGGCTAAGGGGACCAAAGGTTTCATTCTGGCTTACAACCAGCCCCATGTTATAAACCCAAGCAACATGAGAAAGTCACGTAAGAAGGACATTTGCCCAGTGACCGGCCAGCCGACAGCCAGCACCAGTGGCCATCTCTGGATGAAGCGTGGAGGTTCCCCCTGTGTTGGACCCTAGATAACTGCTGCCTTAGCTATCCTGACATGGAACAGAACACACAGCTGAGCTCAGTCAAACCACAGCAACCCGAGGAAGCAAGATGGCTAGGGTTTAAAGACTCTTCCTTTTTCTGTGGGTGCTCACAGGCCCAGGCAGCTGCTTGCTTAGGAAGTGCTCCAGAGGTTTTCTATCACGAGGCTTTGACACAAGAGCAGTTGGGCCCTCCGCCTTACAGGTGACACCTGCTCTATGTAGCCAGAGGGAACTGGAAACTATCGTCCCAAACAGACCCGACAGGTCCCTGGGACACACAAGTGAAGAGTGGAACCAACGTTGTTTCCCAGCTGTCTCAGTCAGGGTTGCCGTTGTGGGGTGGAACACCATGTCCAAAGCAGCTGGGGGAGGAGAGGGTTTATTTGGCTTCTGCTTCCACATCATAATCCATCACTGAAGGAAGTCTGGACAGGAACTCAAGCAGGGCGGGAACCTGGAGGCAGGAGCTGATGCAGAGGCCATGGAGGGGTGCTGCTTACTGGCTTGCTCCTCACGGCTTGCTCAGCCTGCTTTCTTATAGAACCCAGGCCCACCAGGCCAGGGATGGCCCCACCCACCATGGGCTGAGCCCTCCCTCATCAATCACTAATTAAGAAAATGCCCCACAGGCTTCCTCCTACAGCCAGCTCTTCTGGAGGCATGTTCTCAGTGGAGGGCCCTCATCTCCAATGCCTCTAGCGCGTGTCAAATTGACATAAACTAGGTCGCCTATCACCCAGCCTTCCACAAGGCCAAGTCCTGTGGCTGCTGACTGGTTAGAAGTGACTGGCCTCTCACAGCACCAGTGGCCGGAGCTAAGTGTAACACAGGGCTGTGATCTCCGTTTCTGGGAAGATCTCCCTGCTGGTTTGTTAAGTTCCTCTGTTTACTCAAGAGTCTCCACAGTTACTTTTACCAACAGAGCCTGTGGGTGAGGCGAGATGGAAATCATTCCCAGGAGAAGACGAAACTCATCAAAGTCAAGAAGTCAAGAGGCCATGGCTTCTGCTCACAAGCATGGCTAACCAGTGAACTTGGCCTCCCTTCTGTTCCCAAGCCCTGCTGCGTCCCTGCTTGCCTCTTGCATCACACCGATCAATTGTGGAAGTGACCCATTTACATCGCCATTGGCAACAGCAACGGACCCTTCCTGACTCTGCTTCTTCCCTACACCGTCATCATGATTAGTAAAGCCATGTTTGTTTGTTTATTTATTTATTGTTAAAGATTTATTCTGCCTGCATGTATCCCTGCACACCAGAAGAGGGCACCAGATCTCATTACGGATGGTTGTGAGCCGCCATATGGTTGCTGGGATTCGAACTCCGGACCTCTGGAAGAACAGCCAGTGCTTCTAATCTCTGAGCCATCTCTCCAGCCCAAAGCCATGTTTATAAAGCCAGGAAGGTATCTGCCCTCAACTTCAGAAGACACCCAGTTTCCAGAGGCTGGAGGGCATGCTGTCACTTACTGACCCAGGTAGAAAGTGCTAGAGGCACAAGTCAGCCCCCAGGACACCACCTGGTGGGAATACCAGTCTCTACTCTGGCTTTTTTTTTCCCCTTTAGCTTTATGTTATTATTAATGTGTGTGTGTGTGTGTGTGTGTGTGTCTGTCTGTCTGTACGTGTCTGTGTGTTTAAGTGCAGGCATGTGTGAAAGTTAGAAGGTTCCAGGATTGTTTGGCAAATGCCTTTATCTGTTCAGCCAAACTCCCCTCCCTCCCTTCTACCCCCCTCCCTCCCCCCTTCCTCCCCTTTCTCCCTTTGTTCTATTTCCTTGTTCTCACCTTTCAAACCCCACCCTTCTGGTCCGCCCAGCGATATGGCAGCTCTCATTGGCCTTGTAAAATGGAGGCTGCTTTGACTCACGGATCACGGATCACGAATAAAAGCCAATTACATCCCTAGCCCTGTTCATTGTAATTTTTATCTCTCGATGCACCCATTGGCACCTCTCGACTCACTGGGGACTCTCTGACTTCTTCTGGTCCCTTATTGTCTTCAGGCTGGGGTGAGACAGAGAGACCTGACCACACATTTCTGGTGGCCCTTTTCATCGTTATGGATGAAGCAGGACCTTCATCAGCCCACCTCACCCCACCCTACCCCCACCCCGGTGCCAGGAAGCGCAGGCGGAGCATTGGCATGGCCAGGCCATGCTGTGGCTGCTGTAATCCTCCAACAGCGTCCTCCCCTCCCTGCCCTCTTCCTCCAGAAACAAACGCCTACGCCTACGAGGCTAAGGAGCAGGAGGCTAAGGAGCAGGAGGATGACATGTGCCCCCTTTTCCTCATCTAGTGGCCACAACTGCTGTTTTAACATGTCTGGGCAAAGCAGAAAAATCTGAGCGTCACACAAAGGAACAAGCAAACGAAACCTGAAATGATTTGTTCCTCACTCACCCAGATCCCACCTGTGTGTGAGGAGCAGGGAAAAGAGGCCCCCTGGGAGAGAGCCATGACTGATCCCTTGTTGCTCTGAAGGATGGGACAGCCAGGGGCCCTCACAGGGTCACTTGAGGTTCCTGTGGAGCTGGGGATTGAATTGCCGGGACCTGTTCAAGAATCTAGTTACCAAACTCATATATCAGCTATAATTCGGTTTAACCTTTATGCTCACAAAGACTGTCCCAGGAGACACATGAAACCTCCTGCTTTTTCTGGCTCTCTGGAGGTCAATCCATTCTTAACCCTAGCCCCCCTCCTCCTCCTGCTCCTCCTCAGACCCCTTCGCCTTTCACCAGGCTTAAGTTCTTCTCCCTCTAAAGATGAAATCAAGCCTGTCACCCTGGTAACCAGTTCCTTTGGCCTTGGGTTGTAAACAGAGAGTGGCCTGTGTTCCTCTGCTCTTCTCTTGCTGTGGTCTCTGCATCCTATGTGGCACTTACTGAGAGTGATTCAAGCCATGACTGGTGTCCCCACCGCACCCCCAGAGGATCAGGGACCAACTCTCATCTTTCCCTCCTTCCCCAAGGCCAGGGCATTGCAGGCCCCTATAAACGCTGTTGCTGACAGCATGCTGCCCATTAGAAGAAGGTGAAGGCCCCTGGATGAGGGAGCTGGCCTCCAGGGCTCCCAGCTCAGCTTTCCTCATACAGTTGTGTTCTCTTCAGTGAGAGTAGGGGAAGCGCCAGACTCCGGCTGTTGGCTACTCAGCTCGCTAGCGCCACTTTGTGGTTAAACTAAGCATCTACTCTTTTCAGCTATATAGCCCTAACGGGCGTTGAATTCGAACAATTCTCCTACCTCAACCTCATGAGTGCCGAAATTACAGATATCTGCCACCACCATATCTCTCTATGTAGCCCTGGCTGTCCTGGAACTCCCTCTGTAGACCAGGCTGGCCTCGAACTCACAGAGATTCGGCCTGCCTCTCTACCTCCCAAGTGCTGGGATTAAAGGCATGTGCCACCACCGCCCGGCATAATTTATGTTTTAATTCCATCTTTTCAGCATCCCAGGAGAAGACCTCCTCCCCTCCTATAGCTTCCCACTTGGCTTTTTAGTAAATAGATTGAGATCAAACCTCAAGGTCCCTTGCAAGGCCACTGATAGACGGCCCTAAGCTGCAGCTGTGTCTGTCTGCTAGAAGCCAAGGTCTCACAGGCCCTGCTACATACTGCCTCTTCTTCCCGGCTCATATTTATTAGTCTACTTTAAAATTTATTATATTTCGTTTATATGTGTGCATGTGTGTGCACATGTAGCATGCCAATATGGTTTTTGTTGTTGTGTATTTATTTATTTACTTATTTATTTATAGGTAGTTCACTAATTTACATGGTGGAGTGTGCTTTATTGTACCAGGGATCTCTGAAGGAACAGAGTTCTTAGAATGATATATAGTACAGAGGGGATTTATTAGATCAGATTGCAGTGTAGGATTGCATGTATAGGATTGCATGCATAGGATTGCAGGTATAGGACTGCGTGTATAGGATTGCAGGTATGGGATTGCACTATGGGATTGCATGTATGGGATTGCATGTATTGGATTGCATATATGGGATTGCATGCATAGGACTGCATGCATAGAATTGCTTGTAAAGGATTGCAGGTATGGGATTGCATGCATAGGATTGCATGTATAGGATTGCTTGTATAGGATTGCAGGTATGGGATTGCATGCATAGGATTGCTTGTATAGGATTGCAGGTATGGGATTGCATGCATAGGATTGCTTGTATAGGATTGCAGGTATGGGATTGCATGCATAGGATTGCATGCATAGGATTGCATGTATAGGATTGCATGCATAGGATTGCATGCATAGGATTGCATGTATGGAACTGCATGCATAGGATTGCATGTTTGGGATTGCATGTATGGGCGGGTGGTCAAACAATGGTGTTAGGGAGGCTGAGGACTTGGGAAGGAAGCTGGGAGCTTCAGCCCAGTCTGGTGCTGCAGGCCTAGAGGAGTCTTGGAGTCTGTGGTCTCCCATGCGTGTTGGAAGGCTGAAGAGCTGGGTTCCACTGTCAGTGAAGAATAGAGGCAACAGCAGCTCGAGAAAGTAGATGCACTTAGCACAGCAGCAGGAGAAAATACAAAAAGGCAAAGAGCCCCTACACACATACACACACACACACACACACACCACACACACACACATACCACACACACACACACACACCACACACACATCACACACACACACATCACACCACACCACACACCCACACCACACACCACACACACACCACACACACACACTACACACACACACACACACACACACACACACACACCACCTCCTTTTAGGGTTTCCTGCAACCAGAGGGCCAAGGAATACTGGAAAAGAGCACACCACACAACCAACCTCACACAAAAGATTTATGGTGCTCACGTCAGTGAAAATGTATCAAATCTGGCAGTACACCCCGAAATGCTTCAGTATACCTCAGTGCACATTTTAAAAGCCTGGATACTTCCCTGCATGTGATATTTTTATCTTAGCCACTAGACCACCAGGGACATGTGTGACATTCTTACCACACCTGTCACAGTGTTGGGGGCTAGGCATACAGTTTGGGAAAAGTCAAAGGTCACTTGTATTTAGCTGACTTCAATCAAGAAACAAAAAAAAATTGCTGGGTGTGTTGGCATATGCTTTTAATTCCAGCATTCAGGAGGTAGAGGCAAGAAGATAAATTTGAGGCTAGCCTGGTCTACCTGGTGAGCTCCAGGCCAGCCAAGGCTAGTAAGACCCTGTCTCAAAACAAACAAGATAGGAGATGGTGGCACATGCCTTGAATCCCAGCACTTGGGAGACAGAGGCAGGCAGATCTTTGTGAGTTCAAGGCCAGCCTGGGCTACAGAGGGAGTTCTAGGATAGTCAGGGCTACACAGAAAAATCTTGTCTTGGAAAAAACCAAACCAAACAACAACAACAAACAAACAGACAGACAAAAAAGAAACACAGTATCCAGGGGTTAGAAATGTGGTTCAGTTGATAAAGTACCTACCTAGCATGAATGAGACCCTGCAGTCCCAGCACTCCTGAGGTGGAAGCTGGAGGATCAGGAGTTCCTATCCCGCCCCCATCACACCCCGCCCCCATCACACCCCGCCCCCATCACACCCCGCCCCCATCACAAAAATAAAAATAGAATAGCCAGACCACTAAGGCATATGTCAGCAAAGCCATCACAGACAGGGTAAGGTCAGTGGTGTGGCCCCTGGACCTGATGACCAGTTTGGTTTCCAGGGGCTACCAGAAACACCTGAATTTTTCAACATTCCCTGCTGCAGGAAACCCTGTGATGTCATTTCCTGCTGGTCACTACATTTGGCCTTGCTGGTTCCTGAGTCCCTGTGCTTCCTGGGAAGCATCTCTTCTGAAGAAGGCACGGTTGTCCATGACGAGGGTCTCGTGCCTGGACTCCCTGAGCATCCTTGGGAGGTGGTTGCACCCTGCAGTCCGGCCACACCCGCAGGTGCTTTTTCAGGATGTTGCTTTAGACGGTTTGTGCTGTCACACTAAATGGTTTAGACGGAGGGGCTGACGGTTGATGACACTCTGCTCTGGGACGCTTAGCAAATTTGTCTGATGAGGGCTCACGTCCTTCTTGCAAGATAGAACCTTAAGCTGGGGACATTGTGGGTCAGTGGTAGAATGTCTGTGTAACATGCACAGGACCCTGGGTTGAATCCTCAGCAGAGCAAAAAAAGAAGGGGGGGGTGAGGGGAATGACACCATGGTGGGGCGGACTCCAGAAAGACAAGAGATGAGCTCTCCCTGAACCCTTTTTCCTTCCTCTCTCTCTCTCTCTCTCTCTCTCTCTCTCTCTCTCTCTCTCTCTCTCTCTCTCTCTCTCTCTCTCAGCTCAAGGACTGTTTGAGAGGAAAACAATTAGGAGGGCACACTGTAACCCTCGGCACACTGTAACCCTCAGCACACTGTAACCCTGGGAAGAGGGAAATGGGGAAAAGGAAGGAGGAAGCCATGCCTTTTGAATTAGGGTCCAGGGAAGCCAGCCTGTTCAACAACGGAGGTCTGCAAGCAGCTGCATGGGGTAGAGGGACTTCAGAGAGAGAGGGGTGCTGCCCAGGGTGTCAAGGCAAGCGTGCTTAGGGCTTTTAGAGTTAGAACTCAGGAAGCAGGCCGGCTCAGCAGTGAGGATTCGCAAGCAGCTGCCGGAAACCCCCGAGTAAGTACACGGAGCCTGTCCAGGATGGAGCCTCCTGAGCACATCGCTCAAAGGTCTCACCACATGATACTGTTCCACTGAAGAGTCAGTAAACTTGGGAGGGACACAGGTGCTCCAGCCATCACAGCTGTATTTTTCATATGTATGTGAATGTTTGGCAGCATGCATGTATGTGTTTGGTGCCTACAGAGGTTAGAAGAGGACGTTAGAGCCCCCGGAACCGGAATTACAGATGGCTGTGAGCCGCCATGTGGGTGCTGGAAATAGAACCCAAGCCCTTTGGAAGAGCAGCCAGTGCTCCTAACCACTAAGCCATCTCTCCAGCCTCAAAAGCTGTATCTTTTTAAAACGATGTAGGCTGTGGCTGAAGCCGCAGTTCAATGGTAGAGCATTTCCTTAGGCTGTGTAAGGGCCTGAACTGAATTCCAGCATTGAAACAAATAAGTAAAATAGAAATTGGGCCAGCAGGATGGCTTAGCAGGTGAGGGCATTGGGCACCGAGCCTGACGACCTGAGTTAAAACCTGTATTGTGGGGGGCTGGAGAGATGGCTCAGCGGTTAAGAGCACTGACTGCTCTTCCAGAGGTCCTGAGTTCAATTCCCAGCACCCACATGGTGGCTCACAACCATCTGTAATGAGATCTGGTGCCCTCTTCTGGCCTGCAGTCATACATGCTGTATACATAATAAATAAATAAATCTTAAAAAAAAAAAAAAAACCTGTATTGTGAAAAGAGAGAACTGATTCCTACAAATCACACACATACACACACACACACACACACACCCCATACTACATATACACACATTCCACACACACAAAACCCACAATACCCCCACACACACCTTACTATTAATCATAGACCTGTGTTTTAGTCGTGAGTTGTAAGGCTTTTTTTGGGGGGGGGTGTTCCACAAATACTTATGTCTAAATGTAAACAGTGACGTTAGGCAATCTTCAGCACTGCAAGGCAGTTACTGATACTATCTTCATTTCACGTCATCGAGGACCCCCAGGCCCCCAAGCCCACTGAGCTTTTGTCAATTATGGAGTGCCAAGCTCAACCTGAACACCTATGTCAGAATTTCTGGGTCAACAGCCCGCCCCGCACAGGCTGCTGCTCGGTCTCCTTCAGGCACTAGCCTCTTCGAGCCTCAGATTTCTCTCCTCAGCTTGGCATGGCTGAGTGACTTTAACAACCAAATACCTGGCCCGGCAGTGGTGGTGCATGCCTTTAATCCCAGCACTTGGGAGGCAGAGGCTGGCGGATCTTTGTGAGTTCGAGGCCAGCCTGGTCTACAGAGTGAGATCCAGGAAAGGCGCAAAGCTACACAGAGAACCCTGTCTTGAAACAACAACAACAACAAAAAAACCCCGAATACCTGGCTTAGGCTGAATATAGACAGGGTGACCGGGAAGATCCCCACGTGGGTAGAGTTTCCAAGGAGAACGCAGGTATGAGTTCCTCCAGGACTCCACCCTCCCTCAGGTGACAGACATGCTGGAGGGCACATCTTGGGTTTTTGAAGCGCTGGCCTGAAACCCTGGACCAACCAGACTCTTCTCTGAAGGTTAGACAGAGCAAAGACAGCTCTCCAGAAGGGTTCAGGCTAGATGTAGACTAGCTTTGGAGAGAGTGAGATACGCTCCCAGAGAAAGCAGAGGATGAGCTGTCAGCCACACATTTCTCGCCTATCCCTTAGGACGCCATACTG